ACCAATCACTTGTATTCTATAATATTTTTTTCTGTATTTTCCTAATGACAATTTTAGGATTGGTTTATACAAACACATAATAAGGCAGAATAGTTTCTATACTGTAATAAATTTGATGTCAATTAGCACTGCATTATTCATATACTATTTATTACCTGGAAATTACCTGAAATTACCTTTTTTTAAGCTACAGCAATAGCGGGATGCTTTTGTCCATATCAGGGATTTCCTGCATGTCACAAGTTATTACTTCTACTAGGCCGTTTTGGACTTTCTGCGCGAGAGCGCCCTCTGGCTTCGAGTATGAATGAAGCATGAGAGTGTTTTGCGCTCGGTAATGTTCACATCGTCTCGTTTGGGATATGAATAAATCGTCCGGTCATACATAGACTATCTTGTTTCTTTGCCAAAGCACGCACACAGAAAAAGTTATTTAAAATGCATCTGATTAACAGATAAATCATGGCTGATCTATCAGCCAGATGCACGTAAAAATGCATGCGCTCTTATTTCAATGTTGTTGTTAATGTTGAGGTATATTTTAGCATCGTACATTTAGTTTAACTGCACTGTTAAAGATGGCGATTTTTACCATTCAACTGAACTGTGTGCATGTATTTTAGACACTTACATTGTTCTTGCTCCATCCATGCAATAATTCTATCAACCGAGTTTTCTGTTTACTATTACTGCTGTGTGCTCTGGTAATATCAATGGTATGACTCATTTCAGGAGCTGACAAAATTACGATTTAAAATCAGAGCATAGCTCACATTCACTTAAATACTGCAACGCTAATGCTGCTCATTCAAAACGACAACGCCGGTGATTGACAGTCAAAGCAAAGCGCGGTTTGAATGCCCCGCCCCCGCAGCTGACCTGGAAGTTTTGATTGTTTTTTTACCCAAGTCAGACCTGTCTGTTATTGCCTGAAGCGCAGGGCTCCACCCCAAGAGTTTGAAAAGTGCCCGTCAAACGCTGGCTCGCTCTGTTTCTCCATTGGCGCCTCCTTTTGTCTTTTTTTTTTTTTTTGTACTTTGTACTTTTGGTGAAAAATAAATGTAGCGAAGTTGAATACTTTAGTTTTATTTTACTCAAGTAAAAGTAAAATTACCACAATTTAATTATACTCAAGAAAGTAGAAAAAAATGTACTCAAGTACTGGAATGAAAGTATTTGTAATTAGTTAATTTCCACCTCTATGTAAGAGCCGTGCTTGCACAGGATCTGCGCGATTCTCTTCACTAATATTCTCTGCATCTCAGTCAGGCTCAAATTGATGAGCAATATTGACGACGCCATTGTTTACAATACAACTGGAGCACATGCCGCTGAGGTGAGGGGCTTGAC